CCTGCCTCAGCCTCCTGAGTAGTCGGGATTACAGGCATGTGCCACTGCCTCTGGCTATACCTTATTAAAACAATGAAAGCAAGCCCTAAACCCTGGAGCTACTGGCTCCCAATTCACCCTGACTCCTTCCTTACCCAGGTCCCCCCTAAAGAGGAGCTGGGGTGGCTTCAGCGTCAAACCCTGGTGTGATGGGGTGTCACACCCACTTGTGGAGGGAGATGTGGACTCAGAATAAAAGCTCCCAGCCCAGGGCCCACCAGGGTCCTGCTGTGTCTCTGGCCTTTATAAGTGCCCAGCACGTACAGGTCTCTGACACTGCTGAGTGGGGCAGGGAAGGCCAGACAGGTGACAGAGAGGCTGGGGAATAGAAAGGCCTTGACTGGTTCCTGTACATGTGGGGGGTTTTTTTGGGGGGGTGGTACAAGGCATCGAACTCAGGACCTTGTGCTTGCCAAGTAGGCGCTGTGCCACTGAGCTATATCCCTGGCCCAAACTTTAATTTTTTTGGGGCGGGGGGAGTACCAGAAATCGAACTCATGACCTCAGGCTTGCCAGGCAAGCACTTACGCCACTGAGCTATACCCCCGGCCACTGTGCATGTGTTCTTTTGTTGTTTTTTTTTTTGTACATGTGTTTTTGATGTTACCCTGCCCTGCAGGCTAGGGACTGTGTTCTTATTGGTTTTTTTTCTTTTTTTTTGGTCTTGTCTTTTTGAGACAGGGTCTCACTATGCAGTTCAGGCTGGCCTTGAGCTCACTTTGTAGCCCAGGCTGGCTTCAAGCTCACAACGATCCTCCTGTCTCAGCCTCCCAAATGCTAGGATTACAGGTGTTCACCGCCACACCCAGCGTTTATTTATTCTTGAGACAGGGTTTCATTGTGTAGCCCAGGCTGACCTCAAACTCCGAGCTTTTTCCTGCCTCAGGCTCCTGAATGCTGGGATTATAGGCATGCACCACCACACTAGCCTTGTTCTTTTTATTTTTATTTTTTGGTACCAGAAATCAAACTCAGGACATGGTGCTTGCCAGTCAGGCACTGTGTCACGGAGCTATATCCCCAGCACCTTCTTTTTATTTTTGAGACAGGGTCTCCATAAGTAGTTCGTGTTGAACTCACTATGTAGCCTAGGCTGGCTTCAAATTCATGGTAATCCTCCTGCCTCAGCCTACTGAGTACTGGGATTATAGGCATGTACCACTACACCCTGCTAGAAGAATCTTCCAGAATGGGAAGGCAAATTAAATGATAAATCCTAAAACCCTTGAAAGGTTTAGAAGTCACCCAGACACATCCCCTTCTACCCCACCCCCTGTGGCTGTTTACCTTTGACCTCTGTGCAGTTGTTATTTAACTCCAGGGACATACCGAGTGGCCCTGTGGTCACCTGCCAGGCCTGGCCGAGGTCCCTGGGCTGATCACAGGATGGGAACGGGAACCTATCAGGTAAATCTCTTCCCCCAACTTGTCTCCAGTCCCATCAGCGTAGGGAAGGCCTCGGGAGTCCCCAGCTTGTCTCTTGCCCAGCTGGGCCCGCTGTCCCCTAGCAGCAGGCAGAGCTGCAGTGGTGGAGGTGAAACCGGGGGATGAAAGGCGCCAGGTCCCTGCCTGTGTCCTTAGTGGCTGAGAAGTTGTGGTGGGAAGCGACCATGGAGCAACAAGGCCCGTCCGGCTGTCCTTGCGCAGCTAAAACAGCCTCCTTCCAGGTAGGAGAGCCTGGTGGTCCTGGGCAGGTCACCTGGCTCACTAAGCCTCTCATTTTTTATTTGGTTTCTGAGACAGGGTCTTACTGTGTATGTTCAAGGTCTTCCTGGTCTTGAACTCACTCTATAGCCTGGGCTGGCCTTGAACTCTCAGTGATCCTCCTGCCTCAGCTTCCCAGCCTCTTGCGATGGCGTCACAGGAGTGCCAGGCATGTGCCACCACGCTCGGGTTCCTTACAGAGTATGAGGGGTGTAAACGTCTCTCAGGGCCTGGAGGGCCTAGCCATGGTCCTAACTGCAGGCCCCAGGAAGAGGCTGAGCTCAAGGAGGAGAATAGTTCAGGAAAACCAGAAGGAGCGGGGCCCATATTCCCTGTGGTCCATGGCGACAGGTGAAGTCAGGGGACTCAGGCTCAGCCTTTGGAGATTCTGAACTCATCCTGGCTCATCCTAGGCCCTGCACCTCCTGAGTCATTTGCATTATGCACTCAGAACTGGGGACTGCTGGGCGGAGAAGGACAGGCGCTCAGCCAGGTGAGGGCCCGGGCTGGGACCTGCTCAGCTGCCCTGGACCTCGGGCCAGGGAGACCCATGGACTGGGGGTGGGGCCGGGTGGGGCTGCAGGGTCCCTGGGGAGGTGTGGTCCACCTACAGGGCCTCCCATGGCCCAGCCCCCTGTAAGAGAGGACCGCAGGACACATCTCCCTCCTCCTGGAGATCGCACCCGGAGCTCTGGCAGAGAGCCCCTGCTTCCCGGACCCCGAGATGCCTGGCCTAACCTGCCGACAGTGGAGGAGGGGTGTCTTCTGCAGTCACCCAGGCGTCCTTACCTTAGAGACTAGAGCCCCGGAGGAGGGAGGTGACTTGCACAGGGACACGCAGTGGGTTATTTTTGCAGCGAAGGCCTGCCCAGGGCCAGGGGGCAGTGACATTTCATGTGGCCCCTTGCCAGCTGTGGAGCCTCCAGCTAAAGCAAGAGCCAGTTCAAATGCAGAGCGCTTTTGCCTGAGCGACTCCAGGTGCCTAACAAGGCTGGCGCCAGGTGGGGGTAGGGCCCAGGAATGGCCTGGGCGTGGAGCCATGACCCTGTCCGTGACTAAGCCGCTCTGGCTATTTGGCCTTGTCACTGCTGAGGAACAGGGCTCTGGACACAGCGTTCCTTGAAGATGCGTGTGTTACAGTGACAGCACACTACGGATCTTTAGACAGAACTCACGTTCACTGTTAGCTGGGAAAATGTAGGTTAAAAGCTGGCATGCACAGGCCTATTATCCCAGCACTCAGGGAGGCTGAGGCAGGAAGATTCCAAAGTTTCAGCCCAGCCTGGGGAATTTAACAAATTAGTGAGATCCTGTCTCAAAATGAAAAAAAAAAAAAAGAAGAAAGAAAGAAAGAAAGAAAGAAAGAAAAGTGAGAAGTAAAAGCAGGCAAGAATCAGGTGTGGCGCA